TGTTCTCTTCCCCTTACCTCATGTTGCAAGGCCTAAATGCCTGGATCAGCAGGAAGTGGCTCTTGCCTAGCTTAAAGTGTGTCTTTCTAATCAGAAGTGTTCTTTCTAAAGACAAAGAACATGTTGTCTCCAAAGGAAGGATGGCTAAGAGAATTCTTTATTCTGCAAGCATAAACAGGATGTATTTTGTTCTTATTGCATTTCGTGTATCTTACTTCACGGATGTTGGGTTGATACTTTAAGTACACATTGTTATGTTTATCTGATCACTGCGAGTATATAGCTATGTGAGTAATAAACGGCAGTATGCAGTTGCAAGTGCTGCCTTTGCTCTGCATCCCCTGTGTCCTGGTGATTTCGTAGACCCTTACCCAGGGACCCCAACGCACTAGACGTTGACACCCCTCCATTCAAGCCAGCAACAGTGAGTTGAGCTTCTCTTGTGCTTTCAATCTCAGACTTCCACCTCTGCCACATCTCTCTGGCCTCCTCCCCCATCTTCCTCTTCTGCTTTTAAGGCACATATGATTACATTGGGCTGAATCCACCCAGATAATCCAGACTCATTTGCTTATTTTAAGGTCAGCTGATTAGTAATCCTAGTTATCTCTGTAAAATCCCTTTTGTATGTAAGTAATATAACCATGGAGTAACATCAGGAGGTAAAGATTACAGGGGCCAAAATTCTGCCTACTACATTCATGGATAAAATTTAGTAATACCATGAATTTGGATGGCGAAGGAGTTTGGGACAGTGGGACAACCACCCCCCACCCCCACTTTGGCATTTGGCATGTGGCATGTGGCATTTTGAGTTGAAGGCAATCAAGACCTTGTGGGCGTAGGAGAAACTTTTGCCCCTCCCTTTACTATATAGAAGAATCTAAATTGGAGGGTCTTTCCAGAATAATAAGGGTTATTAGCAAATATAAATTTTATCTGAGTGACCCATCTGTATGGCAGGGCAAACATCTAATTACCAAACATCTGCTCTTTTCTTATCACCCTGTGAATTACATTCCTTTCCTCTGAAGTCCCAGACCCCTACCCCATTCTCCTTAGTTCAGAATGACACATAATACCTCATTTTGCCTATCTTTGGAATTTCCATGTCTATGTGGATTCCTCATACATATGCTGTTAAATTTGATTTTCTCCAGTTAATCTGTCTCATGTCAATTTGATTCTTAATCCAGTTAGAAGGACCCTTGAAGGGGACCTTGCTCCTTTGAAGGAATACTTGCTCCCTGATAATGGCAAAACAATTAATTCTATTTTCACTATTTTCATATCCTTTGTCAATCAATCAAGAAGAGGCTGTGAAGCAACCAAAGTGTTTATTTGGGATCTTAGGTGTTGCAATCTGGAAAGCACAGAGTCCATCTAAATCCAAAGAATGCTTGAATTGGGAATTTGCAAATTATGAGTGGGAATTGCAGGCCTATAAAAGGCAAAAACCACAAGTTAACATAATTTGTTTTGGAAGAATTATAATTGGTGCTGGCAGAATTCCAACTGACTATCTAATATATGATTGGCTATTTAGCTAACAAGTATTAGGTTATCTCTATTTCAGTCCAAAGTAGAAGGATGTGTCCCAGGAGGTGGTCCAGTTGCAATTGACAAAAGTCAAAAGTTCATGGTGTTCTGATAATTGAAATAGGAGATGTGCATAGGCCTTACTTCCTCAATATCCTTCTAACTCTATTTTGAGTGACTATCTTAGCAATAGTTACTTCATTTTGAATCTTCTTTCACATCTTCAATTATGAATATTGGCCAAAAAAAAAAAAAAATCCACAGTAACATAGCAGTATTAACAGTATTAACAGTAAATTTGTCACCATAAAAATCACAGATATTTTCATATTTTTAGAGTTAATGCAGATGATCTTGAAACATCATTTCAGTCCATCAGTTAAAAAAAATCAGGTGTTACTGGATCTGCTACTAGATCTTATTTGTTAATAAAGAAATACATATTACCATGTCACAATTAATTTTGAGAACTTTCATATTGAATTAATTTCTTTTGTAATCTTATGTATTTTCTTTTAAGCATTCCCAAACATTATTCTAAGTAAGAGTCTATGGGTTCTACTAAGCTACCAAAGAGGTTTATGGCCCCAAAAAGGAAAAGAATTCCTGTCCTCAGGAATTATCTTCCTTTGTATGGTTGAAATTTGGTTATTGCCTTTTCTACATTGCAATCCAAACAAATGAGAATGATAGAGGAATTTGGGGTTAAGGCATTCCCTTAGGCAAAAGTTGCATACAACATTTCTGCTCATATGTCATTTTGAGAACTGAAATGTGGCAATACTTAGCTGCAAGAGAGGCTTGGGGAATGTAGTCTCCAGTTACGTGACCCTGTACCCAGCTAAGTATTACTAACAGGAAGGGGAAACAGAATATAGGGGACATTCAAGAAAAGAAAAAGAAAATCAATGACCTAATTTACAACTTAAATGAATAATAGTCACCTTTTGTACACCACTATAATTTCTTACTATAGACATGCTAATGATGTCATGCACTTTTCTTTTTTTTTTTTTTAAGATTTATTTATTTATTTGAGAGAGAGAGAGAGAGTGTGTGTGTGTGCGCACGCAGGGGAAGAGGGGCAGAAGGAGAAAGGGAATTTCAAGCAGGGATGCCTGGGTGGCTCAGTCGGTTAAGCGTCTGCCTTCGGCTCAGGTCATGATCCCAGGGTCCTGGGATCGAGTCCCGCATCGGTCTCCCTGCTCCGCGGGGAGCCTGCTTCTCCCTCTGCCTCTGTCTCTCTCTCTGTCTCTCATGAATAAATAAATAAAATCTTTTTTTTAAAAAAAAAAAGGAATTTCAAGCAGACTCCCCATTGAGCACAGAGCCTGACATGGGGCTCAATCTCATGACCCTGAGACCATGACCTGAGCCAGATGCTTAACCGACTGAGCCAACCAGGTGCCCCATGTCATGCACTTTTCTAAAACATGTTTTATAAGTTTAGGAGTTAATAAGCCTTCAGGCTAAGTATTATGCTTTTGAAAGATTGAGATAGTATCTATAGTCAAATTAATTTTGAATTTTTGCTTTTGAATGTTGAAATTTTGCTTTTGAATGAATGAATGTTGCTTTTGAATAGGGAGAGGATGTGTAATTTATGATAGGAAAGATAGCATAGAGCAATCTAATCTTTTTGGGGAAATCTTTCCTCAGCCTGAACATCTGGATAACAAGATACTTTGGCACACTGTGTTGTAAGTACCTGAAAGAGAAGGCAATGTAGGGGTGCCTGGGTGGCTCAGTCAGTTAAGCATCTGCCTTCGGCTCAGGTCATGATCTCAGGGTACCCCTCCTCCCTGCTTGTGATCTCTCTCTCTCTCATGCTCGCTCTCTCAAATAAATAAATAAAATCTTAAAAAAAAAAAAACTTTTAAAGAGAAGGCAGTGTAAGGTCTAGCCCTGGATTAAACATACTTTCAAGTGCTAGAGATTGTGTCTTCCCTTTGCAAGTCTCCTTGCTGGGGATACTTCAGGGCTGCTATACTGATGAATGCCAATTGTACTTTAGGATTTGTGGAAAGACCAAACACTTTTGGGAAATCAGACAAGCTTTACTTATCTAAAGGAGAAAGTCAGCATAAACACAGACAAGGATACCTGGCAGAGAGATCAGCAACTTCATCCCAAATACAGTTGTAGCTTCCTGGGCATTAAATCTTGCTGGGCATTAAGCCTTCCTTAGGTGGTATAGGAGTGGGGCCTGCATCAGAATTTCTGGCAATAAAACTACCTCTCCCTTGGGTTGATTTCTCATAGCTTATGTGTGTGGCGTAGGTTCTGGAAAACCCCTTTTCTGAGCCAAGTGCACTTGCACTCCATGTTCCAGGAGAGGGTCTAAATTATGTATTAGTTTATGTAATGATCTCAATAATCCTATAAAGTAAGTATAGGTATCCCCTGCTTTTCACTCTTTGGAAGGTCTCCTTATGCCACTTGGCTTTTATGAAAGAGCTACATTAGTACCTGTTTTCACTAACCCAAAGAAATCTGAAGAGGATTTTTGCTTTCATGAAAAAAAAAGGTGGTAAGTGAGAATAGCATTTAGCATTGATTTTACTGCATGTGCCCTGAGCAGCCAGAGTGGCACCGGCAAGCTCCTTCCTTGGGAACTACACTGGGTATCTTAGCATTGAGCTGCTGTAGCTTTTAACTATGTCTCTGAGCATCTGTGCTTTATCCCAATTTATTTTGTGCATCTGTTAGCAAGATGTGTCCTAAGGAAAGCCTAAAAGGAGTTGTTTTTTGGGTCTGGGAATGCTCAAAAATGTTTCCATATAAATTAATGGTAATCGCTTCTTCACTTTACACCATTTTGGCTTAGGAAAGTTTTCACAGGAATTCTCTACGTTTGGTTAGCAGGAGAAACCTGCATTCCTGTTAATTCTTTTAGAGGCAGGAAAACTGAGCAGAGACAGGTTAAGTGATTTTCCCAAAGTTGTATGTCTAGTGAATGGCAGAGCCTATCATAAATTACACATCCTCTCCCTATTCAAAAGGGAGATCCAAACCTCAAGGGCAAAGGAATACCCTGCCCTCCCTACAGCAAGAACTAACCACCTCTGCCCTTTCTTATTCTTAACCACTCAGTCATATTCCCTTATTTACTTTTTCCTCTACAAGCCCTCATATAAAAAAAGGTCTATTTTCTTTGAGAAGTTTCCCGTGCATTAATGGATGTTCTCCCTATTCCAATGGCCTGAAAAAAAATTATCTCCTTCGCTTCACTTGATGCGCTTTCTTTCACATGTTTTACAGAAAGTTTGCGGACCCCATTCTCTGTATCACTGATTCTGAGACCAGCAGCAACAGCCTATCCTGGGAACTTGTTAGAAATCTACACTTTCAGCCCTACTGTAGCCCACTGAATTGGCAATTTTGCGGGTGGTGCTCTTTAATCCTTTTGTAACAAGCTCCCTGGACGATTCCGATGCAAGTGAAAGGCAGAGAATCACAGACAGAGACGGTTCTCCCTCAGACACGTGAACGTGCCTTTGCAAATCTCGCCGCCAGGGACTGGAAGGCCGGGCGGGCCACAGCCTTTTTGACGCGGGTGGCACTAGGACCCGGGCGGCGCGGGCCTCACTCCTAACGCCCACGGCCGGGGCGGGGCCAAGCTGTGCGGGGAGCCGGGGCCTCGCTGCTCGACCCGCCCCTGGAGGCGGACCGAGCTGACTTAAACTCTGGGGCCGGGGAGGCCGGACTGTCCTCCCCGCTTGCCCGCGCCGGGCTGTGCGCCCGTCGGTAAGTGTGGCGCCGGGCGACCCTTCGCTCGCCCTCTCGGGTCCCCGGCGGGGCGCTGGGCGCCAGAAGGCCAGGCGCCCGCGGGCTGGGGCCCGGCGCGCGGCGGCGGGCGCTTTTGTTCTGAGGCGAGGACGGAGTCGCGGGGTCGCGACCGCTCAGGCGGCTGCGGGCCTCGGCCCGGGAGCAGCTCGACCGGCCGTTCCGTTCGTGGCCCTGCGGGCCGCGCGGGGCTGGCCGTGGCCGGCCGCGGACGTCGACCCGACCCGGAGGGCGGCGCCTGCCTGGGTGTTTTCTTTAAATTGCCTTACTCCTTGCGGTGGAGGTCGCGGGCGGAGAGAGCGAGTACGCATTTTGTTCAACTACAAGGCGGTGGTTTAGGCGGTGGGTGTGAGAAAAGCTTATGTTTTTCATTATTTCCTGTCGTCAGCGTGAAAAAAAAAAATCTTTGTTTTGCATTTACTGTGTCTCGAGCGTTCCTTTCCTCCCCACCTCCATTATGCTGACCCTCCCGAAACAGGATTGCTCGGCTTGTATCTCCAAGTGGCCCGCGAACGCCTCTGTTCCGCAGATGCTTTCTGTTCCTCAGCAGTAGTTACCTCGAGGCATTTTTAAATGCACAAATGCATATGGATTTTAGGTGTTCTCGAGGGATGCGAATGCCCTAAGCAAGTGTCCTTAGGGTCTTGAGTTCAGCAGCCACCTTAAGGGGAGTCGTTTCAGTGAAAACGATTTGTTTGTAATACTTTAAAGAGCCTACTTTTTTTAAAATATAGAGAACAGCCGGTGATGGGATTCAACTTGGGGTGCATTTGAATAGGCGGGTCGCAAAGCTTGTTTGGGGATTTTTCTGTTTAAGGTTGGCTGTAAACCGTATGTTTTATTCAGTGTTAACATGCACGAATAAGGTTTTAGTTACTTTTTCCCCCTCCTGTACAGTGGGATTCTCTTACTATTCCAGTCAGGAAAATTGCAAAGATAAAGTATTTTTGTTTTAGAATGGCAGGACAGTAGTGAACCTGGAGGACTGAACATGAATTCTAACTTAAGCAGTGAATGGTATTTTAGGCCACACCTAGTTTCTATTTCTGTTGCTTTGCACACCTAATAAGAATTTTGTAAACTTTGTATGTATTTGGTGCAACCTTAAAGGAGCACAGTTTTGCACTGCAGTGTCCTATCAGGTAAACAGATCAGCATGTGCTTTTATTGTAACTTTAAATTTCATATAAATAAAAATAAACTTTATATTAAATTATTATTAATTACAAAATGTTTCTTGCTCTTCCTAGGACCAAAGAAGTAAACACTGTGTGAAGGGGGAACACATGTTCGGAGGGGAAATGGGAACATAAACCATAATAAAAGAGTAAGATTGTACTTACAAGTAAGTATCTTACCTCCAAGTAACCTACTTTAATTTATCTGTTAGGGAATAAAATTATTAATTAAATGAATCAGCATTGGTTAAACATTAAATGGTAGGACACAATGGATTTGATGACAAAGCTTGAGGAGAAATAGTATGGTTGACAAAGCGTAGAGAATTCAGTTGTTAATCTTAGATAAGGGAGAGTAGATTATGGTGAGAGGTCTGCTTAAAATTGCTCTGTTTCTTGATTTTTTTAATTTGTTTTTATTATTTCTGGCTAGGGGTTGAGGTAAGGCAGCGCAGAGCACAACCCTAGAACCATTCTGTGAGATACCAACCTGGAAAGCCGAAGTGATCTTCCATTCTGTAAACACCAAGTTGTGTCAGGAAATACTCTGTAGTGATTAAGACCATGGCCTTGCGGTCGATTGCTGAGCTTCAAATCTTGGCTCTACCATTTATTAAGTATACAGCCTTGGGAAAATTATTTAACCCTTTGCCTCAGTTTTCTCATCTGTCAAATGGGGATGACAGAGCACCTACCTCATAGCATTGTTGGGATAAATTACGTGATTTTTATTCATATAACACACTTGGAACAGCTGTCAGCTATAAGTGGTAAGTGGTCAATAAATTTTAGCTGTTGTCCTGTTAGAGGAAAGGTATTTTATGGCCTAAGACAACATTATGTCTAATAGGAAATTCAGTTTGCTCATTTAAGCTCTAAGCTTATCAACTCCAAGTCAGTTTACCAGTTTTGTGTTGATTAAACCCTTCACTGTAGACCATTTTGTAGGTTCAGTTTTTGTAGGGAAATACCAGACACAGCTCTAGTTTTTACCTGCAGACTTAATTTGAAATCAGGAATGCCTCCGTTAAATTCTTTATCTAGGGCAGATTTGCCCCAAAGCCTTGTTTTTCCACATTATTGTGTGATGTACAGGAATCTCTTCCTGTTTAGATTATCGATGTCTTGCACAAATAGGAGTGCAAATGTTAAGGGAATTGATCTTGCTTTTAAAAAGGTATTTATAGGAGTGCCTGGGTGGCTCAGTCAGTTAAGCATCTGACTTCTGCTAGGGTCAAGGTCTCAGGGCCCTGGGGTTGAGCCCCATGTCCATCTCTGCATCCAGGGCTCTGCCCCATGCCTTCCTCTGCCCTCCCCCGTCTGATGCACGCACCCCTGCTCACTCTCTCAAATAAATAATAAATCTTAAAAAAAAATAAAAAGGTATTTATAAAGGTGAATTTCCAGATTTTTTGTGTGTGTATACACGAGGCCTTCTCCACCCTTCTCCTCCATCCCCCCTATGTAAGGCATACTCTGAAACATGTGGAAAACATTCAGTTTGAGATAAAGAGACAACAGTTTACCAACTCTGTCTCCAGAAATGCAAGTTAAAATTTACTTTGTAATAAGCCTTGTAAAGAAAGAAGTAATCTTGTGGACTTTGAGGAATTCTAAATGCTTTGTTGGGAGGCAGCGTTGTAGTGTGTATATTCTTGAGATCTTAAGTGTGCTTGTAAATTGAAGGGCAATGTTGGAGGCTGGCCTGTTGAGGTAAATGTCTCAAGTGAGACATTTGCTCATAGTTGTAATGACTGCAAAGATTTAATGACAATCACTAAGATTCTCTTGAGATGTATAAATTTCAAGACTTCATTTGTAAGTAAAGTCTTTATGGTTAAGGTTGCAAAGTGTTACAGGAAATATTGTCCACCTTAGGTTTAAAGAAACAAATCATAAGCAAATTATTTTTTTAAGCCCCAAAAGGTAATTTATTGGATCACATCATTTAGAAGTTCGAGTAGCTCCATCTTCGGCTGGATCTAAAATCTGAGTCTAAGGAAAGAAGATTTTAAAGACTTTTGAGACACTCCATTTTGAGCTCTGCTGTTTTCAGCATTGACTTCATTCTCAGACACACCTCCCTTCATTGAGTGGCTGCAGCATCTCCAGGTATATATCCAAACAGCTTCAACTTGGACACGCCTTGTGTATGATTGCCTAACCAAAAGTCTGTAATTAATTTCATTGGCTTTCATTGGGTCATGTGCCCGTCTGTGCTAATAACAGAGAAATGCTGCGTTTGGTTTTTTAAACTACAGTTCAGAGATACAATTCGTGTACCATATTCATTAATTCAGTTTGTCCATTTACAGAGTACAGCGATTTCCAGTATATTCACAGGGTTTGCAACCGTCACTGCAATCAATTTTAGAACAGTTTCTTGACCCCCCCCCCCCGAAAACAATCTCCATGCTCATTAATGGTGTTGACTCAGATGATGATGAGGCTGTAAAGCAACCAGAAGGGTTTCTTTGGCGTCTTCGGGACTGCGATCTGGGACACAGAGTTGACTGAAATCCAGAGTGTACTCCAACGAATGGGGAGTGCAGGCTTACATAGGCAGAAACCACAGGTTACATAACTTGTTTTGGAAGAATAATGATGGATACTAGCGGAGTTTAAACTGAGCTGTAATACACGATTAACTGTCTGGCTAATAGACATTAACATGCTCTCTATTCCAGTCCAAAGTAGAAGTATGTGTTCCAGGAGGTGGTCTAGTTGCAACTGACAAAAGTCAAAAGTTCATGGTGTTCCAAAAATTGAAACAAGACAAGCACAGGCCCTATTTCCTCCATATCCTTCTGACTGTATTTAGAGTGACTCTTAGTAATGCTTACTCTGTTTTGGAATCTTGTTTCACAAATCACTCCCCACTCACCCCCAATCCACGCATTCCCAGGCAACTATTAATCTTGTTTCTATCTCTAGGTTTGTGTGTTCTGCACATTTCTTACAGGTGAATTAATAATACGTGATCTTTTGTGACTTTTCTCTCACCTCACGTGTTTTCTTCAAGGTTTATCCATGTTGAAGCATGTATGTACTACACTGCTTTTTATTGCCAAGTAATAGTCCATTGTATGGATATGCCACATTTTGTTTATCCTTTCATCAGCTAACAGACACTTGGCTATTGTAAATAATACTGCTGTGAGCATTCACGTACAAGTGTTTGTGTAGACATACATTTTTAATTCTCTTGGGTATATACCTAGGAGCAGAATTGCTCCATCATATGGTAACTATATTTGATCTTTTGAGAAACTCCCAGAGTGCTCTTCAAAGTAATTGAACCATTTATATTCTCAACAGCAGTGCCTAAGAATTCCAGTATGTCCACATCCATGGCAAACACTTGTTTTTTTATGGTATGGCACTGTTTTTGATTGATGGTTTATGATGTTGATCATCTTTTTATGTGCATATTTGCTTTTTGTAGATCTTTGGAAAAATTGTCTCTTCAGAATCTTTGTTGACTTTCAATTTGAGTTGTCCTTATATTGAGTTGTAAGAGTTCTTTATTGAATTCTATTCCACTGATCATTTTCTATCTCGTTCAGTACCACATGGTTTTGTTATTGTAGTTTTGTAGTAAGTTTTCAAGTTGGAAAGTGTGAGTCCTCCAAATTTACTCTTCAAAATGAATTTTAGGATCAGGTTCTCAATTTCTGAAAAGACATCAGGGATTTTGGTAAGGATTGCACTGAATTTATAGATGAGTTTGGGGAGTATTGCCACCTTAACAGTATTAAATCCTTTAACTCACTGAATGTGGGATGTTTTTCCATTTTTTTTAGGTCTTTAATTTCTTTTTTTTAATAAAAAATTTTTTTTTTTTTTTAAGTAATCTCTACACTGAATGTGGGGCTTGAACTCACAACCCTGAGATTGAGTTGAATGCTGTTCGAACTGAGCCAGCCAGGTGCCCCAATGTTTTGATTGTTTTATCTTGTTATTTTTTTAGAATTATGACACCTTTTTTTTTTTTTTTTTAAATAAACTCCACACCCAACATCGGGATTGAATTCACCACTCCAAGATCAAGAATTTCATGTTCTACTGACCCAGCCAGCCAGGCACCCCTGGTCTTTAATTTCTTGTAGCAATGTTTTATAGAGTGTACATTTTTCAGTTTTGTTAAGTTTATTCCAAAGTGTTTGGTTCTTTTTAATGATACTGTAATGGATTGTTTTCTAGAGTAAGTGTTGTTTAGAAATACATTTGGTTTTTGTATATTGAACTTGTACTAGGCAGCCTAGCTAAACTAGTTTATTACTTACGTTAGTTTTTTAGTGGATTCCTTACAGTTTTCTATATACAAGATGATGTCCTCTGCAATTAGAGGTAGTTTTACTTATTCATTTCCAATCGGATGTCTTTTTTTTTTTTTTTAATTTTTTGCTTAACTGCCTTTTTTTTTTTGCTTAACCCTCTAGTACATACTGAACAGAAGTAGCAAGAACAGACATCTCTGTTTTGTTCCTGATCTCTTAGAGTGTAAGCATTCAGTCTTTCAGTGTTAATTATGATGTAAGCTGTGGGTTTTTTGTAGATGCCTTTCATCAAATCAAAGAAATTCCCTTCTATTTCTAGTTTGACTGTTTTTATCATGAAAAGGTGTTTGATATGAAGGTGCATTTCATTTCTACCCTATTAGATCCTTCTGCTTCTACTGAGATGATCGTGTGGTTTTTGTCCTTTATTCTATTGATATGTTATATAACATTGATTTTTTTTTTTTAATGTTGAATCAATTTTGCATTTCAGGGCTAAGTCCCACTTGGTTGTGGCATATAATTATTTTTATATGCTGCTGTATTTGATTTGCTAGTACTTTGTGGGGTTTTTTGCATCTGTATTCATGAGATTGGTCTGTAGTTTTATCGTGATCTCTTTTCTGGTTTTGCTATTAGGGAATATTGGCCTCATAGAATTAACTTGGGAAGTATTCCCTCCTCTTTTGTGTTTTAGAAAAGTTTGTAGAATTGGTTTTTCATATTTAAATTTTTGGTATGATTCACCAGAAAGCTATCTGGGATTAACCATTTCTTTTTGGGTAATTTTCTGGTTACTAATTCAGTCTCTTGACAGGCCTATTTAGTTTCCTGTATCTTCTTGAGTCCGTTTTGGTCAGTGTGTCTTTTGGGGTCTTTAGGGGTTATGCACTCAATTCCACTGTGGGGGGGGGGACGTTCCCCCCACACCAACAACAAGCAATTCTCTGGGGATATGATGTGGGTATCCTACAATTCAACACATTTCTGACTATATACCTGGAAGTAGCATCAGATTCTATAGGTTGAGGGCTCAGTCCCACAAGACTGTCCTCACCCCCATTTAAGATATCAATCGCAAGCCCAGGTTATCCCTTGTGCTTCTGACCAACAGGCTACAGATTTGAGGTTTCTATGACCCTCCTTGGACTCAGATACCAGATACCAGTTGCAAGTCCAGATTGTTACCTGTACTTCTGTCTAACTGGCTATAGATCAGAGGTTTCCACAAACCCTTCCATGGAGTCTATTAATTTGCTAGAGAGGCTCACAGAACTCAGAATCATTTTACTTATTAGGTTACTGGTTTAATGCAAGGGATTTTAAAGGATACGAATCAGTGGTCATGGAAGAAATGCATAGGGTGAGGTATGTGGGAAGGAGAGTGGAATTTCTATGCCTCCTCTGAGCATGCCCCTCTCCCCAAATCTTCATGTGTTCACAAACCTAGAAGCCCTCTGAATCCTGTCTTTTGGGTTTTTATAGAGGCTTCATTACATAGTCATGATTGATGAAAAAATTGGCCATTGATTCAACCTCCCATCTCTCCTTCCCTCTCTAGAGGTGGGGAGGGGGGTGGGACTGAAAGTTCCACTAATCACATGGCTGGTTCTCTTGGCAAACCATCTTTTGGTGCAGTCTGAAAGTCACCTAATTAACATAACAAAAGGCACCTTCCTTCATCACATCACTTCGGAAAACCTAAGGGTTTTAGGAACTGTGCCAGAAATGGGGACAAAAATCAAATACATATTTCTTACTATAAATTACAATATCACAGGGGGTTTGTTCTTTTCATCCAAATTATGAAATATATTGGCATACAGTTGCTTACAGCATTCTCTCTTTTCTTTTTTTTTTTTTTTAAAGATTTTATTTATTTGACAGAGCGAGAAAGCACAAGCAGGGGGAGCAGTAGAAGGAGAGGGAGAAGCAGGCTTCCCGCTGAGCAAGGAGCCCGATGCGGGGCTCGATCCCAGGGCCCTGGGATCATGACCTGAGCCGAAGGCAGACGCTTAACCATCTGAGCCACACAGGCGCCCCATTCTCTCTTTATTTTCAATGAAGGGTTGGTAGTAATGTCTCTATTTCCTGATTTTAGTAATTTGAGACTTTTTTCTTAGTCAGGTTAGATAAAAATTTATCAGTTTTGTTGATCTTCTCAAAGACCCAAGTTTTGGTTTTGTTCATTTTCTCTATTTTTGTATTCTCGTGGCTAAAGGTTATGGCAACAAAGGACACAATATATGACCAACTGAGAGAAAAGAGAGAAGGCACAGGCAAAGTCCATGAGGTGAGGTACATGTTTCCAGTTCTCCTTCCACGAGTATTGCATGGGTATGCCATCTCTACAGCTACAGATGGTAGGGACAGATGGTCTCCAGAAGCATTTATGTACATAAGAAATTCTTTAGGACCCCAAAGAATATTTGTTTATGTAAGTTTTATCAAATCTGCTTCTGCCTTCAATTTTTTGCCATGTGCTATTTTAGGTGAAGTAGTTGAGGGTGTTTATTGGATGTCTCAAGTAGGTCACTGCTTCATTACAGTGCTGAAGGTTCACTGCCACAACTTCTGTTGGTTTTTACATTGTCCTTCCATGTGACAAAGTGTTGTGGCTAGGGTGGCTTAAAGCATAGTATTGATCAGTTCACAATTGGGTGATTGTCATGCCTTCTCACCTGCACAACTTGAATAGCTCCCCTATGCTAGTTGGAGAAGGAAGACAATAGACCCAGGGGATCAGAGTTGGGGGAGTAGGCAGAAACTAGTAATCTAATTTACCCCAGGCTGTTGATACCTACCACCCTCAGTCAATACTGCTGGCCAGTGCAAGATCTTAATCTAAGGACTCTTACAAACTCTCAGCAGCTGCTGATTTTGGGAGTGAATGTCCTTGGGAGTGGTGGCCTTTGGGCCAAGGCTTGTATACCTTATCCTTTTAGTCATGATTTCCATTGGTTTCCTGATAAGGGAAAGCAGAGTTCTCTTGTGTGTGTTTTCTTGACTGCAGTTACAGCTCTGGATTTAAATGGGTATGTTATCCCCTGCCTGACCCTGCTAACAAGAAAGTAGATTCTGTCCTTCAGGTCTCTTCTGGTACTACAAGTCCCCTTGCATCATTAATTTCAACCTTTAGTTTTATAAAATCTGGATCTTAACTCCATGCCAACAAAATGCCTGTTAACGTTCTTGCAACCCTCTAAACTAACCTGGGACAACCAGAGTAGACAATAGAATGTGGCTTATAATGACAGAGGTAACTAACAGTGTGTAAAAGTTTTCAGATTTTTCTTCAAGGCAGTTCAGTCTACTTTTATGGCACCTGTTTAGTTCTGTTCAGAGACTTTGTCCACCTCAAGAGGCACAGAATTGGCTCACTCCTATTATAGCAATACTTACACTCCTAATACACTTTGTACTCCAACAGCATGTTGCATCTTAGGTAGCTTGTACTTGCCTGGCAAACTATTTTTGTACTTGAGGCACTTGCCAGGGATTTCTAGATATTTAAGACCACTACCCCTCTAATGAATCCTGTTTCCTTAATGAATCCTGTTTCCTCCTTACCTGGAACACTCTAAAATGAGTTGCTAGGCAGAACTCCAAGGAAGGGTAACTGAGTTTTGCATGTGTGATCTGGGATCTTTAATTCCCACTTCAGGGTATAGTACAACTATAAATGTAGTCCGAAATTGGTCTCTGACCTCTGCTCTAGAGATGCAAGAAAGTACCGTAAATTTTCTAGCCTGAATGAGACGCGTACCTCTCAACTTCTAATGGCCAGTTATGATGGGATATATGTGATTGCCAATACCCCATGCTGTACCTAGATTAATCAGTCAGCAAAAGTAGAGCAGTTTATTTCCCACTCCCTTGTTCTTCCAGGGAGAAAGCCATGTGGCTCTCACTGGTGAACCTTGATGATACCTGGGACCGTACTTCGCTGGCTTGGCTCTGTGTGGGGAGCCTGGTTGTGGCTTGACCTCCACGAAAGACCTGATCATCTTGCCAGGGGTCAGGGTCAAGTCACTCTTTTCCAATGTTGCTTAAGAGAAAGTACAGTTAATTAGGGTATTTGATGGAGTGTCCTGTGCTTCTGAATAGAATTTGTAGCTGGACACATGAAAGGTGGAGGGTAGAGATGTAGGGGGGCAGCTTCACCATGGTACTCTGATTAGCTGTGTCTTCTCATGGGCCGAATAGGCAAAGCCTAATCTCTGTCTGACCCATACCTTGGCAGGACACCCAGCAGGTCCTCCTGGAACAAAGGTTGATAAGAACCCTTATGAGAAATGGCCACGGGGCGCCTGGGTGGCTCAGTTGGTTGAGCGGCTTCCTTCGGCTCAGGTCATGATCCTGGAGTCCCTGGATCGAGTCCCGCATCGGGCTCCCGGCTCGGCAGGGAGCCTGCTTCTGCCTCTGACCCTCCCCCCTCTCATGTGCTCTCTCTCATTCTCTCTGTCTCAAATAAATAAATAAAATCTTTAAAAAAAAAAAAAAAAGAAATGGCCACGGGGATGGTTTTTTTTTTTTCCCCCCTGCTGCTGCCCTGGTGTCAGTTGAGCACTTTTTACCACCTCCCTTGCCCTTGAGCTACAGCAGCAGGCTCTAAAATGTCTATAGTTGAGTTGGCTTCTCAGTAGCCTGTGTTCTCAACCATGTTGGTGTCACCCTCTTCGGGAATAGGGACACTGATGTTGGTTTTTCTGTTTGTGTAAGTAATAAATTGCACATGAAATCACAGTCTTGTCTCCTTTGTGTCTCTGACAGTGTGGAGACCTCCCAGCTGTGATAGCGGGACTTGTTAGCCCTGCTAGCTGCAGCACTACTGAGTGGCGTCATTCATTTGTTCTGTCCGGTCAGTGTGATCATGTAGTCAAAGCATTCAGCACAGTTCTTAACATGGTAAATTCTCAAATGTTAGCTATTATTTTAGAGTTGTATTATAAATAACACAAAACTTAGAATATTCTTGAAAGCCTAATTCAAGGATTGATAGGCTAATTTCTCCCATGACTAAGGATACAAACAGAAAGAAGTAGAATAGGTTGAGTAAATCATGATACTTTTGGCATTCCTGAATAGTGTTGGTAATTGTGGCTTTGTTGATGTTATAGAGGTAGCTGTAGCTTTTTTCTAATGCAAATTGGTTTTTCAGTGAAAAATACTGGCTTTTCTCAATTTAACCACATCAGTGGACACTCCAAATAAACTTTGGTTTGTGGAACACATTAGAAGTGGAACTTAAAAAACCATAAGGGAGAGTTCCAATTTAAAATACCAGAATAGTTTTGTTTTTTCCAGGTGGGAGAAGAGTATTCTATATACTTCTTAGGAAGTTTCTATATTTTTGAAGTACTGAAAGGCTTGCAGATGAAATCATGTGATGTTTATGGTTGACACAGATCTGAAGGGCGGGGTCGGAACTTTTTCTCCATCTAGAAGTTTAAATAGGGACTTCTTTTTAACTTGGTGTTCAGCACTTACAGATAATGTTTATTCCTTACAGATAATGTTTATTCAAAGGAATAAACAATGCCTGCTGGACATTGTCTAGATCTGCCATCTTTTGTGTTGCTCTGAGACAGTCTTTTTTTATACCTTTCATCTTGGATATTAATAACATTGTCTTTCACTTTAATAATGTTCCAGTTTCTTTGATAAATTAACACTTGATGTGGCTTAGTTTGTCCTATTCTTTCTTACTATTTCATCTGACCTGGCATGGCAAACTATATATATAACAGGTCCCTTTTCATAGAGTTCTGTTCATGGGTGTGTGTGCTTGTGTATTTGTGTTTAAGATAAATATTAATATGATTATTCCTCCAAGCTATGATTTTTAGGTTCTTTTTTGCTTTGTAAATTTCTGTAATAAGGCAAAATTACAAATAAAGGAAGCTGCTGGGTTGACGATTTTTCATTTAAACTACATTCTTTGCATTCAATTGATATAGAATACTTGAAAAGACAATTCACAAATCTTTTTTTTTTTTAAGATTTTATTTATTTATTTATTTGAGACAGAGAGAATGAGAGACAGAGAGCATGAGAGGGAGGAGGGTCAGAGGGAGAAGCACACTCCCCGCCGAGCAGGGAGCCCGATGCGGGACTCGATCCCGGGACTCCAGGATCATGACCTGAGCCGAAGGCAGTCGCTTAACCAACTGAACCACCCAGGCGCCCCACAAATCTTTTCTTTATTTGAAAGAGAGAGAAAGAGAGAGAGAGCACAGAGGGAGAGGGAGGAGCAGGCTCCCCGCTGAGCAGGGAGCCCGATGCAGGGCTCGATCCCAGGACCCTGGGATCATGACCTGAGCCGAAGGCAGACGCTTAACGACTGAGCCACCCGGGCGCCCCTCACAAATCTTTTCTTAACCTTGGTGAGGTCTTTATGAAATTTTTATATGAAAATCACATGCATTGTTACATATAGTCTCCTGCAGCCATCTGATTCTTTTTTCCTGCTTCACAAATTAATTTTGCAATCATAGCTTACTATTCACAACTTCTTATACTTTGAATTTTTAGTGACTAGCTCTCTTCCAGTTTTCTCACAGGATGTAGTAGTAATAGTATCATAAAATTTAAAACCCCAAACCGTCAAACCTACAGGTAGTTTATCTAGGGGCGCCTGGGTGGCTCAGTCAGTTAAGTGACTGACTGACTTTTGATTTTGGCTCAGGTCATGATCTCAGGGCCCTGGGGTGGAGGCTGTGTCCTGCTGCATGCTCAGTAGGGAGTCTGCTTAAGGATTCTCTCTCTCCCTCCCTCTGCCCCTCCCCCTGCACGTGCACTCTCTCTCTCTCTCAAATAAATAAAAAAAAAAAAAAAAAAAAGTTTGTCGGGCGCCTGGGTGGCTCAGTCGGTTAAGCGACTGCCTTCGGCTCAGGTCATGATCCTGGAGTCCCTGGATCGAGTCCCGCATCGGGCTCCCTGCTCGGCCGGGAGTCTGCTTCTCCCTCTGACCCTCCTCCCTCTCATGCTCTCTGTCTCTCATTCTCTCTCACAAATAAATAAAATCTTAAAAAAAAAAAAAAAAAAGTTTGTCTATTTTCAGGATGTAAAAAAAAAAATTTTTTTTTTAAGTTAAAACTTTTAGGACTGTTTTTATGATAACATACAAGCAAGGAAACCTCCATGGATCCTCTCTTTAGGGTAGGGGTGTGTGAATTGACTCTGAGTTCCCTCAGTTTGGGTCATGGCACTTTATCAGTGTGAACATACAAGGGCTGCTTGCCTCCCAGTGAAGGCCACAACATCTTATCAGCATCAGCATACTGGTATTGCCTGTTCTTCAGACTGCAAAACCTGCCACATGGGTGGGGTTAGTAGAGCCAGACTTTGTGCTAACTGTATGTAGGAGTCGTCGTTCAGGGCTTGCTAATTTACCTATAGCTAGTAATAGCAAGGATGTTCCCACAATTAAATATAAAAATCCAGTGTTTTGGTGGCTTGATGACATCTGCTCCCATTACCGGGCTGCTTGCTGATCTTTTCACCACTTGACAAAAGTACTTGAACTGTTGTTTCCAAAGCGGAGAGAGCCTTAAACCTACAAGGCAACCAATGGACAATTATTTACTAACCCACAACTTAAAGATAATCAATTTGTTTTAATCCCTACTAGAAGCAAATGTGGGTATATATAATGTGCTCTGTACTTCTCTTTCCTTGTTGATTTTTTTTTTTTTGAAGATTTTATTTATTTATTTGTTTGACAGAGCGAGACACAGCGAGAGAGGGAACACAAGCAAGGGGAGTGGGAGAGGGAGAAGCAGGCTTCCCGCTGAGCAGGGAGCCTGATGCGGGGCTCTATCCCAGGACCCTGGGATCATGACCTGAGCTGAAGGCAGAGGCTTAACAACTGAGCCACCCAGGCACCCCTCCTTGTTGATTTTTCTGCCAGTTCTATTCATTATTGAAAATGTGGAATTGAAGTTTTCAACTCTTGGTGAATTGCCTGTTTCTCCCTTGTTTGTGTTTTTACTTTTTTTATTTTAATGCTTTTAGGTGTTTTTACTTATTTTATCTTTTTGTTGGATTGACCTTTTTATGGTTGTAAAATATCTCTCTTTATCTCTAGTAAGATGTTTGTTTTGTCTGGTAATTAGTATAGACCTTCCACGGTTCTCTTAGCTGCTGTGTTTGCCTGATATGATACCTTTTTTATTCTTTCGCTTTCACTCTGTATCTTTGGATCTAAAGTATGTCTGTTGGAGACAGCATTTAGTTAGATAGGCTGTTTTTTTGTTTGTTTTTTTTGTTTTTAAATCTAGTCTGACATTCTCTGTCTCTTGGATTAGTTTCATCCATTCACATTTAATGTTACTAATATAGTGGGATTTACATCTGCTGTTTATACTTTTTTTTAAGATCCTGTGTCTTTTTTCCCTCCCTTAGTATTTTCTTTTGCATTAAGTGAATATTTTCTAGTGTACATTTTAATTTCAGTGTTTTTTTCACTGTATATTTTGTGGAAGCACAAATTACTTCTAAAAATCATTTTTATCTATACCTTTAAAGGTGTTAAGCATTTAAAATCTGACTTATTATGCTTGTGATTTTAAACCAAACTAAAAGACTATCACTGGTACGGAGGTAGAGAAGAGGTGAAAATATGGGGCCCAGTGAGGTTTATTTGTTGTTTTTGAATTCTGCCAACCTTAGAGAATGTGTGTACCTGTGTGGAAGACCTAATCCCATAGAGACAGGTTGATAACCAGGAATAAAGGGAAGGGGAGTAGGATTTTATTTATTTTTATTTTTTATTTTTTTAGATTTTATTTACTTAATAGCATGAGCAGGGAGAGAAGCAGACTCCCTGCTGAGCAAGGAGCCCGATGTGGTGCTCGATCCCAGAACCCTGAGATCATGACCTGAGCTGAAGGCAGATGCTTAACCAACTGAGCCACCCACATGCCCTGGGAGTAGGATTTTAAATGTAGAGATTTGGTAGGAGGAAAGTCAACTCTGTTACTGGAGATGCATGTTACATTTACAAGGGTGGGCTTTATAGATTTGATGATGGGAGGATGGCAGATGATGCTGAAATATAAGCAGCTGAGTTAGGGCAGGGGAGCATGTGTGTGGGTTGGAGTGGCTGGGGACCCGGTAGGAGAGAAGAGGTCTTAGAGAATTGGGGGCAATTCAGTAAAATGAAGTAGAGTTGCTGAGCAGTGTTAAGTTTGATGTTTATGTTCATGAAATAAAATCCGTCTGCTGGCTTGTGTGATTTTTATTTTCCCCCCAGAAAACTTCAGCTACTGCTGTGCAGAGAAGGATATTCTTAAGTTCAGCCATACTTGGGGTTTGTCAGGTGAGTGCCATGGCTGTCAGAGGTGAAGGGTGATGATGGAGTGGGATGGAGATTTTGGCAAAAAGTTAATTTTTTCAAGAGAAATTAAAATAATAGACCATGCCAGTCTTGTCTCTGGTAATCTCCATTACAATATATTCTCAAAAGGTTTAATACTTGGGATTCAAAAGTAGAGATTATAGTCAGAAAAAAAGTCAGACAACTTTTGACTCCTTCCCTCTAACCAGGTAGTTCAGGGATGATTTTCCAGGCTTCAGTTTTCTGTGCCAGCAAAGAAGAGAGAAGAAAAAAGTTACCCCAAATTACTCAAAGGTCGTTTGTCTTCCTACCCATAGGCTCTGTATTGGTCCTCCAGGGGTGCCCTAATGTAACAGACTGGGTGGCTTAAACAACAAATTTGTTTCTCACAGTTTTAGTCTGGAAGTCCAAGATCAAGGTGTGTGGTTTCTCCTGAAGCCTCTCAGCTTGTAGTCACCCTCCTTCTCTATGTGACCTCACATGGTCTTTCTTCTGTGTGCATATGTCTGATGTCTCTCTCATAAGGACATCAGTCCTATTGGATTAGGGCCCTATCCTTATCACCTCACTTAAATGTAATTACCTCCCCGAAGGACCTTCACCAAATACAGTCACATTGGGGGTTAGGGCTTCATCATAGCTTCAACATAATGAATTTGGTGGTGGAATGACAGAATTCACTCCATAACAGCCTTCTACCCCAAGTACGCATAAGAACTAAGGGGAATTTATTAGGCATCATTAACTCTAGTAGAAGTGCTACTTTGTATTATGCATCTGCCTGATCAGTCAGTGGTATTAATAATTTTTTTCTCTTTTAAGTAAACTCTACCCCCAACATGGGACTCCAACTCATGACCCTAAGATCAGGAGTCTCATGCTCTACTGACTGAAGCAGCCAGGTGCCCCCAGTCAGTTGTATTATTAAGGAGCTTTTTTGGGAGAGGGCATGGGAGGAATACACAGATCTGTCTCTCTGGGATCTGTTTTCTTTCTCCCTCCCTTTCCCCCTCCCTTCCCAATTCAGTTAGCCAACATATAGTACATCATTAGTTTCAGATGTGGAGTCAGTTATTCATCAGTTGCATATAACACCCAGTGCTCATCACATCATGTGCCCTCCTTAATGGCCATCACCTAGTTCCCCCATCCACCCACCCAGCTCCCCTCCAGTAACCCTCAGTTTGCTTCCTAGAGTTAAGAGTCTCCCATGATTTGTCTCCCTCTCTGATTTCTTCCCATTCAGTTTTTCTGGGATCTGTTTTTAATCCAAAAGCATATGTGCCTTCTTCAGTCTTGTTTTTCTTCTTCGTGAGAACACTATGACCCATAACTTAATAGATCTCAAAGATCTGTAGATTGTTTTGGATTTTCTACATAACCTCTGTGAATAATCAGTTTTATGTTTTCCTTCCTAATTCTTATATTTTCCAGGATCTCCAGTACAGTGATGAATAGAAGGGGCAATAGTGGTGTGTTTGTTCTATTGTCAGTCTAAATGTTTAAAGCTACCATGTATCAAATTTAAGGCAATTTCTATTATTGGTTTGACACAGTTTTCTTCAGATGAACGAATGTTGAATTTTACCAAAAGTTCTTGCATGTGTTGAAATAAACTTAGGATTTTAAAAATTATTGTGTTACTACTTTAATTTTCAAATGACAGACCTTGTATTTCTGAACTAATATCCCAGTTTGATCATGATAGGTTATCCTTTTCATATGTCACCCCTTTTGGTTTGCTGACATTTTGTTTAGGATTTTTGCATTTACGTTTCTGAGAGAGATGGGCTTCTTAATTTTCCTTTTCAGCTTTTGGATGACAGCATCAGTGAATGAGCTCTGAAGTGTTCTCTCTTTTATCCATTGTTATATTGGATTATTTCTTTCATAAATGATTGTTAGAATACTCCAGCAAAGCCATGTGGGTCTGGCATTTTCTTTGTGAAAAGATACTTAATTATCCGTGGCAGTTCTTTAAAGAGATAGGGTGTTCTTCCTGGTTAGGTATATTTTTCGAAGAATTTCTCTATTCCACCTAAATTTGAAATGTATTGGAATAAAATTCAAAATAATAATGTTATTTTAACGTCTATAGGATCTAGTGGTAACCTCTATTCCCAGTACTACACTTTTAAAAAAAAGATTGATTTTATAGAGTGAGATAGTGCCCACAAGCTGGGCGAGAGGGAGAGAGAGAATCCACAAGCAGACTCCCCAGTTGAGCATGGAGCCCAGTGTGGGGCTTGATACCAGGACCCTGAGATCATGACCTGAGCTGAAACCAAGAGTTGGCCACTTAACCAACTGAAACACCCAAACGCCCCCCTGCCCTGCTACTGCCAATATTGCACTTTTAAAATGTCATGATCAGTATTGTCAGAGGCTTATTGATTTTTATTCTTTTTAAAAAATCACCTTGTGACTTGTTGAATCTCTACATTTGTGTTCATTATTTTGCCTATTTCACTCTGTCATCACTTCTTTCCTTTGGTTAACTTATTACTCTTCTTGTGATAAATGTGGGGATTATTTCCCAGTCTTTTATTTTATTTTATTTTATTTTTTAAAAGATTTTAAGTGATCTCTACACCCAACGTGGGGCTCAGACTCAGAACCCTGAGATCAAGAGTCACATGCTCTACCAACTGAGCCAACCAGGCACCCCTCCCAGTCTTCTTTTTAAAGTACATTTATTTATGCTATGAATATGCTATGAATTATCCTCAAGTGTTAATGTGAACATGAGTATAAGAGCATGTTAGGGACTGAATTGTGGTCCCTCTTTACCTATTCATAAGTTGAAGCCTTAACCCCTAATGTAACTATTTGGAGATAAGGCCTTTAGGGAGGTAATTAAGGTTAAATGACATCATAAGGGTGGGGCTCTGGTCCAGTAGGACTGGTATCATAAGTAGAGGAAGAGGCACCAGAGAGCACTTTTTCTCTCTGTGTAAGTATAAAGTGCATTCCTTATTTCTCAGTTATTTGGCAATTTCCTACTTACTTTTTCCCCTATGATTTCTAGATTGATTCTACTGTAAATTAATCTGAATTACTCTAATACTTTGAAAATTGAGATTTGTTTATGGCTCAGCTAGATGGTCATATTGGTAAAAATTCCATGTGTGCATGGAAAGAATGTTTATTCTGCATTTGGGGTGTACTATTATGTTTAAGTTAAGTTTGTTTAATTTTGTGTTTTTACTTTGTCTTCGTTTATTATGGTTATGGATTTGACCATTTTTAGATTTACCAATATACTGTTGGTGAGTGTAAATTATTTTAACCTTTTTGGAAGGCCAATTTGTCACTGCTTATGTAAATAATTTTAATGTCCTTTGACACATTGATTTCATTTCTAGGAATTTCCAGAAACATTTAGCAACAAATGTAAAAGCATAAATACAAGAATGCTTAGGGTAGGATAGTTGATAAATGCAAAAACTTAAGAAAACCAAATAGAGGACTGTTTAAAAGCCAATAGAGGACTGGTTAAATGGGGGTATACCCAGAAACTTTAATGTTATACAGACAATGAAGTTAATATATTTGTAGTGAAATGATAAAGGTATCCCTGGTATAGTAATGAAAATCCAGAAAAAAAGATAAGGTTTTCTTTATGTGTTTGTTTTTTATGTATGAAATCTTCTGAAAGGAAAGGTAACAGTGGACACCCGAGGGAGTTAGATAATGGGGATAGACAATAAGGACTTCTTACCATGTGTTTGAACTTTTGAACCCATGTGAGCATGGGTTACTTAGAATAAAGAGCCTATTAAATAATAGCAGAAAGTAATTGCCACTTCATGTAACAAACAAAATACTATGTAGAATGAATTCCTGTAAAACACCCCAGGAATTTTATTAATCTTTGCCATATTTATTGTTGCATTCTCCTTTGCTCTTTTCTTTGTTCCTCTTCCCCAAATTAAAGTTGAATCTTTGGTCTGAGGTGTCTGGAATTAGGATAGACATAGCATTGGTGTTAAGGTAAACTAATTTTCTTGGAAGTGTTACACAGACCAATTTGTAATAAAAGATCTTTATTTCCTTTAGATTCCTGACATTCAAAACAACTGACTTTTAATACACTGCTACTACATCAAATCAACAATGAATTGGAATGCAAAACCAGAGAATGTCACCTTACCACCACAGTATCCTAAAAAGCAGTCGTCTTTTTTGGAGCAGGCTTTAATAAATACGCTTAACACAACATCTCAGAGTTCTTTAAACTATCCTGGAAGTAACCAAGAAGCATGTATGTTTCTTGGTAATTCAAATCCAGTTTCACAGCCACTGCTAAACATCAGAAATTATACAACTCCTCAGCAAATCCCTATTCCTGATATGCATAATGGGACACTTGTGGCCTCACAAACTTCAGTGGAAAGAATCACATATGCCAATGTTAAAGGATCCAAACAACTAAATCACAATTTGCAAATGTCTTCAGGAGTAACACAAAACATATGGTTGAATTCACCAATGAGGAATTCTGTGCTTTCTCATACAGGGGCAACTGTGTCCCATCAAACTGGTTTTGGAACTAATACACCTAATATACATGCACTACAGAATCCGTTTGTAACATCAGATTCCTATTCTATGCAACTACAAATGATCCCTTCTAATTCTGCAAGAGTTCCTGTAACTTACCCAGGAGCCCCGAGACTTAACCCATCTTTATCAGAACGACAGGTTGATTGGGCACAACAGTATACATCCAGTGGACTGACTTACCCAGATTATAGACCACTTCCAAAGCAATACAGTTACTCATCACGAAGCTTTTTGCAAGATCCTGCTCTTCAGAAACAAAACCCTATGCCATCTACATCATTGCATATTAAAAATAGTCACCCTCCAGATTCTCCACGGACTTTACAGTCAAAGCAGACTGCAACCATACAGTCCTATCAATATGCAGTTACTCAAACTGACAAAAGACCTCCGCCTCCTCCTTATGACTGTAGATATGCAAGCCAGCCTTTGCAGAGTACTCAGCATGTTATTAAACAGGCTGCTGTGGACGTTCCTCAAATGCACTTACCTGAAATGAGGAAAGACTTCTCTAGAAGCTTTCAACAGCATTGGCAAAACCTTAATGAAACTGTCAGCACCGTTGGAAATTCCTGTAACTTGAAAGTAAATACCAATGTCACTCAGCCTTTTAATGAACCTGTTAGATCTTCTGTGGATGGTGTTCAGACCCTTGCTCAAAATAATCAAGAGAGAAGAATAGACTCTTGTGATCTTTCAAATCAAGTACTGGACACAAGTGCCACAAAAGAAAAGTTAGTGAGGGATATTAAAACATTAGTAGAAATAAAAAAGAAGTTTTCGGAACTTGCAAGGAAAATTAAAATTAATAAAAATCTTTTGATGGCAGCAGGTTGTATTAAAACAACTGATACCTCTTACAGTGAATTAGCTGCAAATTCTGAAATGTCTCTGAAACAAACTACCCAAATCCAGTCTGGACCACAGGTGACCCTAGTGACTCCAGAGGATAAACCACCAACCATAATAGAATCTGGAAAAGAAACAAATAGAACACACAGTACAATAAATTCCAACATTCAGGACCTGAATTGGGGAAATTGTAACCAAGTGAATTCTGTTTTACTAAACTCTGTCTATTCAGAAAAGTTGCCAATGCCAGACCAGTTACATGATTTGAAAGTTAGGACTTCTTTAAAGGCATCAACTGTTGACATTGCCCAGGCAACATTAAATAAGGCCCAGATTTCATCAGGAAATGTCAATGTTGAACTAAACGTGCCAACAAATTCTGAAACAACTTCTGTTCCTCAGTCTACATCCTTTGAGGAGTATGTTTCAAAATATCCAAATAAAAATACGCTAATTCTCAGTTTACTTACATGTAGAGATAAACCTCAGGAGAAATTATTAAAAAATGCTAGTGAAACTATTCAGGGTTCTAAACCACATAGTTTTGAAATTAACTCAAATAACCAAATCACCAGTAACCAACCAACCTTGAAAACCATGGAAACTCCAAGTACATGTAATATAAATGCCAAGGTTTTAGACAACTCATTTTGCCTTGAGCATAAATCCTCAGCAAGTGGGGTATCTTCTAAAAGTGACAATCACTTTCCCATGGAATTGCTAGCAACATGTCTTTCTCTCTGGAAAAAGCAGCCTTCAGAACCTACAGAGGAAAAACAGTATAATGAGTCAAAAAACAGAACAGCAGTTGGAGGTTCAAAACCTGTGGAAACCTGTGGTAAGAGTCCATCTTCAGTTGTAGGAAATGCTCAGAATAAGATGATAAACACCTCACAAGAAACAACTTTGTCAATAGTAGTACAGAATTATGAATCTTCCAGTGCAACTGTTACAAAGGGAACAGAACTTCAGGTTGCTATAGTCTCACCCTTAGTTCTTTCAGATGTCAAAACATTGTCTGCCAAAGGAATAACACCTGAAGCTGTATCTGAAACACTGTATCCAGTTATTAAGGAAGGCAGTGTTTGTAGCTTACAAAATCAGTTGGCAGAAGATACAAGTGTTACTGCTGCTCTGAAAGCTAATCTTAAGGAACCGGTAGCAGGTACCACAACAGACACAAAGATGTTCTCACCAATTCAGAAGGAAGAGCAAAGTGAGTCAACTAATTCAGAAGACATACCTAATAGCAATCAAGGAAAGCCTATCAAGTCAGGACCAGATACCCACCATTCTGTGAGTGAACAGCAAGTCTCATATAAGTCAAGAAACAGTGATCTTGTTAGTGGTGATATGTTACATATTGACAATATTTGTTCTCTTGTTGAAGGTGATACATCTTACAATTCCCAAATAGCAAAGATATTCAACTTGTCTCCTTTGAAAAGGGTTGAGCCACAGAAATCTCTACCCAATCACAAAGTGATTACTAAGGGACAACAAAAAGAGCAAACAGACAGTCTCACTAAATATAAAGACTTTGGTTTTCAAAATGATAATTTTTTACAGTGCACAGATATTTCACGTAAAATAACTGATCAGGTAGAATCTCTTCAACCTCCAGAATCATCTTTGAAGTATGTTAAAGCAGATAGTGGAATTCTAGAGGAGAGCAACTTGGACCATATCACTAAAAAAAAAAGCATGGCTAATGATAGATGTTCCTCGCCTGCTATTGAGCAGGATAGTTGTCCTCGGGAAGTTGATTCATCCTGCAATTACACTGCCCAGGATCCTGCAAGAAGTGAGATTCTCAGTGATAAGGCATCTGTCTTATACCTACACGATCAGCTGTCAGAACTTTTAAAAGAATTTCCCTATGGTATTGAAGCTGTGAACACACATGAAGGTTCTGTGGCCCAACAGAAAACAAACCAGATCTCGAAAGATCAAACTTGTGATAAAACTGGTTGCGACTCCAAGGGCTCAACAGACCAAATACAAATTACAATATTAAACTCAGAGCAAATGAAAGAATTATTTCCTGAACATGATAATCAACTCTGTGAGGTAGACAAGTTAACAGAACATCAGAAAGAACCTGTAAAAAAAGAAGGGCACAGCCAGTGTGACCCACAAGCAGACACAGATGGAAAGACTGATGATAACTTAATGGATTCAGAGAAAGACGATGTTGGTTGCTGTGCATTGGGGTGGCTGTCTATGGTTTATGAAGGAGTACCCCAGTGTCAGTGTAATTCCATCAACAACTCAACTTCAAAGGAAGAAAAAGGGGAAAATCAGTGTTCTTCGAAGATCAATAGTTGTAAACAAGGAGAAAGAACTTCTGATAGAAATGATCCTGTTGGGTGTAATAGTCCTCTAAATAACAATCTGAAGATTCCTTTGACTTTGCCGGATATGAAAAACCATTTTCCTGAAATAGAGCAAGGCAAAAATAGAAATGATATGCCCAAAACAAAACAAAAGTCACTGAGGACAGAACAAGAACTATTAGGTCCGTTTTTATCTAAAGCTGATAAACTAGATTCCATGCAAAGTCACAAAAGAAAAGGAAAACTGCAGTTTCATGAGATAACTTTTCACACCAGTAATAAAATGACAAAATTTTCTCAAGAGAGCCTGCACCAGAAGTTCATGGCACAAAACTCACGTCCACTAAAAACAAAGGTGGGTTTTTTGACAAATAAAAAAGATCCACGTATGAAGAATGGTTCTTTGGTACAGTCAGTATCCCCAGAGAAAATAAAATTGAAAGCAGGTGGCTTGAGACAAAAAGTTTTGGAAAAAAGGAAGTTAGATGATGGGGGCATGCTTGATTCAAAGATAAAGAGGAAGAAATACGATAAACAAGAGCAGAATAAAAGTGTGGCAGATGGTACCTTTAAATTATGTAATTTTTTGTCAATTCCAAATGAAAGATGTAGGGTTAAAGAAAAGACAGTATCAAATGTTAAGTCCTCAGTCTCCAAGGATAGTTCATCTAAAATTAATAGAGTTCTGACACCAAAGGAGTATTTGCAAAGGCAGAAGCACAAAGAAGCAATGGGTAGCAACGCATCAAAGAAAAGCTATGTGAGGAATGTACCGTGTGATTCTCAATACGTGAAGTCCAGTAAACTTGCCATGCAAGTAGGGAGTTGTGAGAAATCAGATGAGATCCCTAACAGCAGTGTACAGACTTCTAAAGAATCCTTAAATATTTGTTCAAGCCATGGTAAAAACCTCAAGATCCACCATTCTGAGGAGTCCAAAGTATACATTTCAAGGAATGTTAAGGGAATAGTTGGTGGAAAACAACCTGATAAAATGTGGATTGATAAAACCAAATTAGACAAAAATTTAAGCAGCATAAACAATGAAGTGGAATTCAGTCAAGTGTCTCACCAGTCAAAGGATCAAAGGAAACTGTATCTGAACAGAGTTGCATTTAAATGCACTGAGCGTGAGAGCATTTGTCTCACAAAATTAGACAGTTCACCCAGGAAGCTTAATAAAGAAGGGAGACCGGAAAATAAAGCTCAGACCCTCTTACCTGTGAAAGATGCCACAGAAAAACCAAGCATGCTGGAATTTAAATTATGTCCAGATGGACTGATTAAGAATACAAATTATGTTGATGACTGGAAGGATCTGCAGCCTTGTCCTAGGAAGGAGCAAGCTCCTATGCAAGGTTTAGTATAATTTTTTTCATGGTGTCTGGAACATTGTCAGGCGTTGTAGGTGAACAAGTGGGTTAGCACTACTTAGGCCATCTGGGTAGCTAGCAAAGACTTAAATGCATTTGCCATTCATTGGTATTTGTTTTTCTAAGTCGATGGTTTGGGCAGTATTTGTTTTAAGTTTATCTCCCCTTTACTGTAAATTGTCCTCAATTTGTACTGATGATGAGGTATATAAAATTGTAAGGTTTGCCAAATACAGAGATTTCCTTTTGCACCAAGAAGCCTACATTATGAAAAATGTTCTTTGTGCTAAGTTTGAAAAGTGTTATATGTTACTTCAAGTGTTTTGTTGATTCTCATTTGGACTTGTAATTTCAAAGCCCTGTGAATTTGAAGTTTTGGTCTAAATATGAGGAGATAATCGTTACATATTAGTGAAAACATTTTATACATATGGAAATGGTTCGACTCATTGTCATCTTTAAAGTAGTTGGTGACTGTGTTACCACAAAAGTTAAAGTGCTACCATGTAATCTACTCTTGAAATGGGAGGACTGTGGAAGTAGTCTTGTCCAGTATTGTTACCCATGCCAGAGCGTAAACATAACTGTCAGCTGCTGAAGGATAGAATTTTCAGTGTAGTTTCAGGAAGGAAGGAGAAAATAGAGGACTAATTTTTTGTGATAGGAAACATTTAGGGGTTGTGGATAATACATATAAAACATTGCGTTGAGAAATTCAGATTGGAGAACTAAAAGATTTGAATGGCAATCTTAATTTCTTCTGTGATGTTGAGATGGTATCTGTTGGGGCACAAAGTTACGATATAAATATAAGGTACCTTTTCTTGAAAGGAGATAGGGATATATAATAGAGTATAAAATTCAGTTTGTAAAGTATCGGTGATTTCACTTGGCTATGTAAGTAGATCTTTGGAAACTGAGGTGTGGGTGTAACAAGAACATTAGAAGTGGGTGGGGGCAATGGGAATGACTTTCTCTGTCTCATGTGCCCTTCAGTACCTTGAGATTGGTTGATGTTCAGCCTAAGTGGGAGAAACATAATTCCATAGTGAAGGTAAACTTTTAAAGCAACTCCTTTTTCATTTATGAGATATTCAGGCACTTGAAATGGAAGAAAGCATTTTTTCAGATTTCTTTTTAGACTTGCGTTATATGTGAATATATTAATACCTTTTAAAGTCTGTTCTTTGCTTAAATGATTTTCCTTCATTATAGTACTAAAAGAGAGATGAATAGCCATTTCTAGAGATCTGAAAATGAATATTTAAATAGTTTCAGGAATAAAAAGTACAAAAGAAGACTGGTTAAGAGGTGTAACTGAGGAGAAAAGGATGCCAGAAGCCAGCCAAGAAATAGGTAAAACATCATCTATTTAAATTTTGATTTTAGTAATTGGGCACTTGGTCATGTAGAAGCTGGATTATAGTTATGAAACTGTTGTGAAATTTTATTTTTATCCACATTTTTAGTGATTCAATATTTGTGTGTATTAGTGGTAGGAAGATATTTTTTGGTATTTTCTGTCATACTTTGGAGAGGGAAACCGTTCATTTTAACAAAATATTTCTTATCATGAGTTAGGTAAGGGGTTGGCATACTTCTTTTCTATAGGACTAGATAATAAATATTAGGTTTTGCAGATCATAAGGTCTCCTAAACACTCGTCTGTGACACTGTACTGAGAAAATGGCAGTAGAATAATAAATGAATATGGACTATGTTTCAATTAAGCTTTACCATATCGGGCTAGAGGCTGGGCTGGGGGGCCTGCAGGCCATGTCCTATTTGCCAGCCCTTGGGTTGGGTTATTTACAAGTAAATCCATTTAAGTCTCAAATCCAGGAAGACAGGGATGTCCCCATTTTATCAGTGAGAGGTTAGATCATTTGACTGAAATTCCGTGACTAGTAACTGAATAGGCACTTGAACTGGGTCCCTTTTCAAAGTTAATTAAGTGTGGAATTTGAATTATTTTGATAAGAGACTGAGCCTCCTAGTTAAAATTTATTTCTTTTTGCAGGGAATGGATTTGGGCTGAGGGCCAACCAGAAAGTATCTGATCTAATTAGTGTAATGATGTACTTGGTTTTTAGGGTTTTGCACTGAGAACTACAAGCTAGGGTTCAGGAGTTTTATCTTCATTTCGGTTAATTGAATATGCAAAGACCAGGGTTTAGAATTCCTTGAAAATGGAGGGAAGCAGAAGTTCACCATAAGCAACAATAAAGAATCACATTTCTTTTTTTTAATTTTTTTATTAATCACCATACATTACATCATTAGTTTTTGATGTAGTGTTCCATGATTCATTGTTTGTGTATAACACCCAGTGCTCCATGCAGAACGTGCCCTCCTTAATACCCATCACCAGGCTAACCCATCCCCCCACCCCCCTCCTCTCTAGAACCCTCTTTCTCAGAGTCCATAGTCTCTCATGGTTCATCTCCCCCTCTAATGTCTCCCCCCTTCATTCTTCCCCTCTTGCTATCTTTTTTTTTAAGAATCACATTTCTTAAAAGAGAGGAAGTGTGACAAAGTTGAGAAGAGAGCTTAAATACATAGGCCTGTAGAAACGGAGTCTACACATTAAAGGTGCATATAGGAAAACACTAAGTTGAATCGAAGACTGAAAGAAGGAAGAAATGCACTCTTAATCAGAAAAGGAAAACAGGTGAAAGAGGGGGAAATGAATTTTAAGAGTCCTGAGAGTAGAAAACACTTCTAAAGTTGGAACACAGGAATTTAAAAATGAGAAAGATGGAAATGGGCATGGAGATTGGGCAAGAAAGGTCCTTGGAAATAGGAGAGACCTCCTAGAGAAGGTGAGAGGCATGATTGCAATCTGAATCTGAAAATACAGATGCCTGCACAGATTGACTAGGAAACACAGCCACAAATAGGATGAGCAATAAACTGAAGTTGAATGAACATCAATACTCAGAATCATGATGAAAAAAATACAAGTAGGGGCACAAGCTCAAGGAGATCTGAAGCAGGGTAGAGAAAAGCCAAGATACAAGTCACAACTCTGTCAGAAGTGTAAGATCAAATCACTAGGTTGTACCTGAAACTAATATAATATTGTATGTCAATTTTATTTCAATTAAAAAGTAAAGGCAAATAAAATGTACCTGTAATGCAAAAAAGCCTGATGAGATTCAGGGAAAGTATGAAAGACAGAACAAATACCAAGATGAAGAGGTGGACAATGTGAGCCAGCGTGAAGAGAGAGAAAAAAAACAAATGTCATGAACTCCCAAACAGTTGAAAAGAAACTTACTTGATAGCAAAGATTGGAGTGTAGATGGAGTGAGTTGTGAAACTGTATCAAGTCAGGATAAGGTACAGAGAAGAGGAAGTAACAGAATCCAGTGGAAAATGACTTAGGGACTCCTCTCAGGTATCAGTATTACTGACATCATAAAAGAAAGCTAATGAGGACGTACAAGAATTTGAATCATGTAAAGAACCAAGAGGACAGAATCCTTGCCAGAACAGCAGAGAAAGGTAAAACAAGACTATTCTCTAGAAAGGAATGGCTAGAGCAGGAATGGAAACCATGGGAATTCTGAATGGGGAAATGGCTACTGAGAAATAGAGGCACATCTAGAAATGCAAGAAGTAGGAAAAACTGGACCCATCAAAAAGATGATGAGGCTAATGCAATGCTGAGATGGTCTAACAAAACAGAAAAACTACAGACATGTCTTAGAATACCTAATGTGTAGCAAGGCCAGAATATTAAAACTCTTTTCCATTCCCTGGTTGGAACTGGCTGGTGTTTATGCTTTTTGTATTGCTAGTTTAGATAGCTGTTAAAAAGGTCACATTTATAATAGTGTGCAAATGATAGTAGAACAGAATAGCCCAGTGAAGATGGGATGAGATTAGAAAATAATCCCCAAAAGAGAGGCAAGATATCCTGTGTGTATAATTTACCATTCTATAGGTAAAAAGCCATAGTTTTTTTGGGTTTTTTGTTGTTTTTTTGTGGGCAGCAAAGCAATGTTTATTGAGTGATAGTACAGAGCTCCAGAAGAGGGAGGGGGCCCGAGAGGGTTGCCCAAAAAGCCATAGTTTATCAAACTCCTTGTTCTGATATTTTATCCCAAAGAAGAATGCAGGTTTTGTTTTCCCTCTCCATTTCCATTGATTGTATATTGGTCACTAATAATGAGTAATAAAGTAAATAAAATTTCTGTTTCCTTAGATGATAATGTTTTGGCTAATTCAAGACTCTCCAAGAGAAGCTTCAGTGCAGATGGATTTGAGACACTACAAAATCCAGTAAAAGATTCAAAAGCAATGTTTCAAACCTACAAAAAGATGTATATGGAAAAGAGAAGCAGAAGCCTTGGTAGCAGTCCTTTAAAATAATTTTGAGGCTAATTTTTTTGATGGTTCTGTAATTGGCACCAGGAAATTTCTGCTATTTTCTGTTCAGAATATTTTGCTGGAAATGCTCAGAATTACCATGATAAAATCTCTCAAGAGAGTTTGGTTACCACTTAGGTTGTGTATATCATTGAAATTACTTAATTAAAATGGCTTGAGGACCTTACCCATGGGTACCAGACATAAGAAATAGATGGTATTTGTCAGGGAAACCGCAAGGTATTGAATTTTGACATTATTGAACAAAGTTTACCATTGTTTATTTTGAAATGCTAACTATCCATCCTGAGGGAGGGCTGTTCTCAGTTAAGTACTTGTTTACTTTAGCTGGGACTGTAAATATGTTTTTATTTCTAAAGCTTATTAGCAAAACTTATTTTTTAAAAATGCTCACTGTGAATGTCAAAGTATATTCTTAAGTATTTTATACCTAATTGTAAACATTGTCAGAAGTCTTGTTTTGTACTTGTTAAGCTGGACATAATTTTTGGATAATGTTTAAACATTCATTACTTTTCATACTTGAAATAAACATTTATTTTTAAAATATATATATATGAAATCATAATGGTTTGTATTTGATTTTCTACCTCACAACAGGGCACATTTTAGAAGAGTTTTAAAAAGGAGCAGTTTTAGTTAAGCTGTTAGAAGTAAATATTTTCAGGTTGCATTCAGAAGAAGAGCAAACATTTTCCTAGAGTCAGGAAATTGAAGAAAGCATGGAAGGCAAAATGTTTCTGGGTTTTACTTTATGGCTACTAGAAAAGTGTTGGTTATTTTCATAAAATCTCAATGCTATATGTACAGTTCATATTCATTTTAAAAAATACATTTCTGGGAGTAGGAAGAAAAGGAAGTTTAATGAGAGTATAGTTTCAGTTTTGCTATTGTGTGGATATTCTTAATACTACTGACCTGTCCACTTAAAAATCCTTAAGATAGTAACTTTTATGTGTACTTTATTACAAGTTTAAAAACTACATTCTGAAGACTTCAGAAGAGTGGGCTTCTCATAAAATACTAAGTAGCTGTGCTCACTTGACTGATGGTTTCATGTCAATAAAAGATTCAGTTAGAAAAGCAATGGTTAGGAAAACTGCTAGCACCATAACACCAGTCAAGGCAATGGCTTCAAACTGTGATAGTCATTATATTGATCATTGTATTCTTTACTGCTGGAAACTCTCAGAATATTTTTTAAAAAGTCTTAATGTCTTTGATAAAATAATGAGACTTGTTAATATTATTAAATCTCAACCCTTGAGTATACATCTTTTAAATATCCTAAGTGATGAATAAGTACACAAATTTTGCATTTCAGAAGAATCTGAAGCAGAGATATACAAGCAATGAAGGTACAATGGCCATTGAGGAAAAATGTAATTTTTTGACTTGTAAATTGAACTGGTCCCTTGGGACATCATTTTTACTTGAAGAAATCATTGACATTTTTCTCAACTATGTCATCCTGACTTTTCAAGGAAAATAAAAATATTTGTTGTCAATGCTAAAACTTGAGCTTCCGCAAGAAGTTAGGAAAACTTGTATCTGAGACCAAGTTTGATAGCATCCTACTACTAGCTCTCTGATGAGTTCATCAGGAATACTGATGAAGGTAATTATTTAAAAAAGAATTTTTAAAGTAGGCTCCACACCGAACATGGGGCTGGAAGTCACAACCCTGCGATCAAGAGTCACATGCTAGTCTACCAGCAGCCAACCAGGTGCCTCTGAATGTAATTATTTTTTATGTATGCTAAAGTATGTCAATATTTGGAAGATCTGCATAACTTAGTGAACCAATATTTTCTGATGACCAGTGCAGTTGATAGGAGATCTACTCAGAATGCCAGGTAGACCAATGGATTTTAATAGAAGAATGCAAAAAGATAACCTGCCATATCAAGCTTCCCTGTTGGAACCAACCTTTTAGGAAACAACTGTCAGCTTTTGGTGCA